ATAGTCTTTAGTAAGAAAATAGATAGGTTCTCATGAACTTTATCTTTTCTAGATAACTCAATTTAGTAGAAACTTTTAACCTAGGTATTTATATATTTTAATATTTTAAAGTTTGTCAGAACTTTTATTTTCTTAACATAAATTTTCTTTGTAAGAGTTATAATTGACTGCATTGACTTACATTGACTTGTGCTGAATTGAGCTAAACTCGTGAGCTCAACTCAACTTTAGACCATCCCCCTAAGCGGCACTTTGTAATGACTTTGAGGTTTTCTCGAGCATGCTTTGCAATGACGTGAGGGTTTCTACTTGCATCTACACTAATCGTGCTGCTCTAGGCCGCCTCTTACTGTCTCAAATTCTCTTCCAATCTTTACTCTTTCTAAGTCTTTAGCATTGAGATGCTTTGGCCAGATGGTGGGTATGCTCTATATAAGACTTTCTTCTTAGAAATACAGGAGTGTCCATTGCTTTATGTGCTGTTCACAAGGAGCATGCGAGGCCTAAAGGCTATATTCAAGCTTTTTGTGGGGTTCTAAAAATGAAAGGGACTTCCAATCTCACTTTGCACTCTGACATCCATAGCTGTACTATCTATAAATTGTACTTTATTTGTTTAGTTAGGACAAATTCAAGTGTCATATGACAATGATACTCACACACGCACCCATCTTTTGCTTCTGCAGAATGAGCCTAAAGCATCAGTGGAATGGTTGATTTATCTTGTGTATTTTTCCCGCTTTTCTGCAGAGGAAGCAGTTTGTTCAGGCTTGTGTCTCATCTATTCCAAAGTTAGAGCTTCATGATGCGTGAGTGTTTGCATGATGTTAAACTTTCTTTATAGCTACTGCCTATCATTTTGTGCATTCGAGGTCGAGCCAGGAATCACTAATGGAATGATATTGTTTTTCTCAATAATTTTTGGACTGACTGACTGGCTTTTGTGCGGGCTTGATCAGGCTTGGACAATTTCAACTCAAAGTGCAAGTATATCCTTCAGACTGGTTAGTTTTCCTTGGCTTGCGAGTAAAGTTACACAAATTTTTTGATATATCCCAACACGCTCTACCTGGAGTGGCAGGTGACCAAGCAAAGTAGTGAGAGCTGTGATTTGGTGACAATTGCGAGAGACGTGATTTAGTGAGGATCAGAGAATAAGTACATCGTGATTTTTCTATCTGGAAGTCAGATATTGACAAAAGCTGATATTGGGTAGTTACGAGAAAGATTTGTGAGTGTCATAGCTTTGATAGCATTTATCTAACTAAAATCCTTCTAATAACAACTGGATTTAGCTGATGTTTTACTAATATAAATGTATGATTAAAAAATTAAAACACGGCAAGCCAAAGTTTCCAATTCAATTTTATAGCTTAATTTTTCAAAAATATATTGATGAACTTGCAAGTAATCCAGCTTTGCTGGCCTAGACGAAAATAAGTTTTTAATGATGTCTTACTAAGATAGAACATTGTTCAAAAACAATCATGTAACTCTTTTTCAAGTACATACATAACATATAAAATAACTTAATATAAGCTACATGTTGATTTTCATGATCTGCTCAACATTTTCATTTTTTAAAACATTAGAGGAGAAGAATAATAATGAAGTTTTATAAGAAAAAATTAATAATAAATCTAATTTTAAAACTGTCTAAATAAACTAAATTTCTGACTTTTAAAATTAAATCAGAGATCTTTATATCACTTTTTAGAAAAAATAAATTAATAAATAAATTTACAGCTTAAAAAACTCCCATATGTATTTTAAAGATTAAAGATGTGCTTATTCAAAAGTCTAGATAATTATATTAGTTTATAACAACTAGATATAATCTTTATAAGAAACATTTAAAAGCTTGAATTCAATTAGTTTAACTTCACATAAAATATTTTGAAGTAATATCTGTTTTCAAACTTTTTGTCATTTGACTTATAGCATTGCATTATAGAGATTTTCTCCTAGCAAATATACTAATAACATTAGCTCTCTTTTTCTTTCTATCAACCAATCTCAAGTGGCAATCATAGAAGCCAGAAATTCCATCTTAAAGATAAAGAGGGTAATCCATGAGTTGCACTCCATTGCTTTCAAGAACAATATTGGCTAAGATCATTACATGTCTAGGGTGGAAGTTATGGAGTACATGTTGAGGTATACCCAAGTAGAAAAAGAGGATGTATGATATTAAGGATGCTAAAGTAGATCCTATGATTTTTTTTTGAAATTTTAGATTTATTTAAACAGAGAACAAAAGAATTCACCTATCTATACAAAATATAAGCACTTACAAAGAACATAAGCAATTGGAGTTTATGTAAATGCTGCATGGAGGCATTTGCATAGCAGCTACACATGGCTGTCAACATATTTAAAAACTTTCGATACCCAAAGTCACATTCGTGACAATTGCACTCACCTCAAATGAAATTGAAAACCTTGAGAAATTTGTTTCAATTATGGATCAAACTCCAAATTCTATGTATTTTTGCTCTCAACCAATATGAATAAACAATTTTACTCCTTGATGTCTTGTGATAGCATGGTATGTTCACCTTTGTATAAAAAAAGGGTGTACTTCTATACTTAATCATTTCTACAAATACCTAAAACACATTACTTTATTAAGTAGTATGCTTATTATTTGTTTTATTAGATAACAATGAGATCTAAAATGAAAACTAAATCTAATGAGTGGTGCTCATAATGTTAATTCATTCTTGTAAACAAAATAGATTCCCTATTAAAATTACCTCTTCTTCTTTTTAGTATTGCAGCCATTACCATTATATGCTATGCATGCCTGTCTAGTCATTTGCAAATTTGATGACACGTGTAGCAGCCAAAAGTAAAATTCACAATCATATAGTCAACTTGCAAGAGTTTATAAATGAAAAATACTTTTTATGACTATAGGGAAAACCACTACACTTTGGCAATGCTCGCTAAAGAGTTTGCTTATTGCATTATTCTAGATTCTCAAGAATTTGAGCAAGTGTGTGTGGAAGGGATGGAGTGTGTTCCTATACTTGATGCTAATCATATACGCTTTCAACAATCTTTAGTGTAAAAAGCATCTCTTCCTTGTAAGGCTCTCTTGCCTGATTAGTAAATATCTATTTTCAAGTTCTCTATGAAGTTTAAACACTACATTGCTATAGATAACAATCATCTATATTAATGCTTGGTTCATACTTGTATTTCTCTAGGTCCTATAATAAGTTCGCCTAGGTAAACAAAAGTCATATGATTTAATAGAATTGTAACCTTGATTTTGTATCTGGATGAAAAATTCCTCAACCTTTCCAAATGAGCTATATAACAATTTATCAAGACTTGAAAGTTTCCTAGTTTAGAATGTAAAGAGCCTCAGTTTTTAGCATCTTTTATATTCAAGCTTTTCCTATAAACATCTATCAAAAGATTGTAGTAGCCATGATTTGTCTGGAAAGTCGTGCCTTACAGCACCTACAACATATTTGATAAGAAAAAAAATTATACAAAAGAAAGATTTATAAAATTTGCAATGGAAGAACAATGCAAACTTATATAATAAGGCGTATAAGTTAATGTGAAATTACCCTAATCATGACCCTATGGCATCTTCTTTAACCATAGAATCTATGCCAAAAAATCTACTGTCAATCTTGGTAAAGTTCTATCCTCTCTTAAGCCATATATACAAAAAAAGCAAAATTCAAGAGAAGAAGAGAAGAAAAAGAAAAGAAAAAAGAAAAGCAAGGTGTTTAATACAAGTGGATGTTCTCTATAGCAATTTAGAAGCTTTAAGCTTGGCAAATATTAGAAAAAATACCTTACTTTTGAAATCTAAATTTCTTTCATGAAGCATATAACCATATTCTCCAAGATAATATAAGACATAACTTAAACACTTTATTGTGGGTGAGAGACTACTAGTGATTGGCGTATTGAGAGATATTGACATCAGCCACTCTTAGCACTCTTAGTGAAGTAAAATTCTTTTTATTTCATTAGTTAGTCTTTTACACTTTAGTGAAATAAGAATATATAAAGTGTTGTTTCAAATTTAGACTTTTCAAAAGGTCACCTACAAAGAAATTTAACTCTAAATATTCCATATTTATTCATGGGTATTTAACTATTATAAATTATTTCTTGAGTTGTTCTCTTTAGTTACTTATAATCCACCACACTTTTTTGCAAATTTACATTTTCATAAATGAAAGAGAGAGTAACTCTTCTAACACCCTACCCTTTGAAAATCAAGTTTAAGCAGATTACTAAATGTCACTTCTCTAATATCAAATGTAATCTTTTGAATTTGGAACAATTTAATTGAAAACATACTAAAAATGACTTAAGTACTTCTAAACAATTAAATTCATATCCTACTCCAATTTCTATAAATCACTTTTCATAGTGATAAAACTTGCTTTTCCATCCGTTCCAAACTTGTTGACAATATTGTTCCAATTAACTTGGAACTCTTAACTAAATCCAAATCACTATAATATACTTTATGAAATGCAAATATCCATCTAACTGCCAATGCTCAAAAGTTCTTCTAGAGGATGAAACTGTGCCATCTTGGCGACACAATCACTACCAAGATGGCATTGGATATGTGAACACTCCAACTGTGTTGTAAGTGTCACTTGTAAAAACTAATGGCTCAAGAACAACCTCAGTAGAATGAGATATGATTGAACTTAAACCTTTGATACCATATGAGAAAGAATAGAGATAAATTTCATGAAAATAGTAGAAAACTCTTGATCTCTGGACAAATACGTCAAACAAGATGGAGGTTTTGTAAGAAAAACATATAAATACTAAGTTACTAGACTAACTGTCTAGAGTTAACTACTCACGGGACAAGATATGCCCGCTTCTTCTTGCTCCCTCTTCGACTACGTTGGAGCATAGCAAAGCGACCGATGCGGCCGGATTCCATCCCAACTGCCCGAAGCTCCTGAGCTCCTAACCCTAAAACTCCGCCCCAAAAGCACCGAGAATGTAGCTCTCTCCCGAGCTATATTCTTGATCCGTGGGTATGGAACTCAAGAAATAAGTACCATTGACATCGCAATGGAGCTCATCCACGAAACTGGTATTGTTGTAGATTTTTTCTTTTCTACTCGTCCTTGCTTGTGTAAAGTTTGTGCCTTTTGTCAGGGCATCTATCTCTCGAAGTGATAGAGATCGTGTTGGATTGGATTCGGGCCTTGCTCGACCTTATAGACAATTATCACAAGGTACTCCATTGCACGGCCGAGGCGATTGTGTCCTACACGCAGGCTTCTCTTACAGTTCCATTCCAGCAAAACGATCGAATCGCGTGCTCGAATCATAATCTTTTTTTCCGGGCAAACAGTCATTGTCCGCCCCAGCTTTGTAAAGCCATTTCGAAGTTCTTGTCTCTCTTTTCCTCTGGCAGGCTACACGATAAATCGACTTGATCAGTCGCTGGATCTCAATTATAGAGGTGAGAACTTCCTCATCTTCTCTTATTCCATTCCAAACGCACGGACGTTTTCCCGTTTTTTCTGGCAGAAATAGATTACAGGGATTCATCGCCTCTCCTAGGACGATCTTGGAGCGTTTCACAAACGAGTTTAGAAATGCGTGATGCGTCAAGAGATCACGCCGTTAGCCGGCTTGGTGGAGGAGCTACCAAAATAACTTTCCTGCAGCAGCCTTTTCATGGCCTCGGATCGAAGAGACACACACACGCTCTTGCTGCGCCCGCCTTCGCGGCCGGGAGCGATGGTCACCATCCCCTCGCCGAAGAGCGGAGCCGCCAGGAACTCGACGTAGAACGGCTTGGAGAAGCCAAAGTCGGCATCGTCGTAGACGGGAACGTTGGCGGCCCAGTTGCAAAAGAGAACGTTGTTGGCGAAGAAGGAGGAGGCGCACTTGTAGGATCCGTTGGTCCTGGTTCCCAGCTGGATCGCCTTTGCAACGTCGCTCACGCTGGACTGACCGAGCGGCGAGACCGCGTCCACGAACTTAAAGGCGGTGGCAGAGTTTCCAAAGTAGCCGCGGTTCCGCTCCAAGTTGGTGTTGCTCCACAAGCACAGCCGCGAGTCGCCGCTGCTCGGCTGCTCCTGTGCCTTGACGACGGCCTTCCACACCGCGGCGCACAGAGCCTCCGTCTCGCCGCCGCCGCCGCCGGACTCGCGCGTGATCGCCTCGACCACTTTGGAGCCGAAGTGGAAGACGCGGGTGTCCAGCTCCGACGCGTTGATGCTCAAGTTGGTGTGCGCGAAGGGCTGCGGGAGCTGGACGTCGGCCGAGGTGACATCGACGCTGGACGTGGGACGTGACGAGAGCTTGCCTTGCTTCCGGTGAGCCTCACCCCAGAGCTTCACCAGCAGGTCCATGGACATGAAGTCGGCGAGAATGTGGCACCAACTTAGTCCGAGAGCGAGGCCTCCGCCGCGGAACAGAGTATACTGCAAGAAGGGATTGGTTTCGTGTTGCTTTCTCCGGAGGCACACAAACTTACCTGGATGGCGAGCAGCGGAGAGACGCTGTAGTCGGAGATTCGGACCTCCGGAAGAAGCTGCTGCCGGTTGGATCCGTCCTTTTCCGCCTCGAGCCACTCCCGGAGGCTCGAGTCGCAGGTCGCTTCCACGACTCGGATGCCGGCATCGTTGCTCTTGATTCCCAGGTTGCCGTTGTCCAGCACCCGCAGCCTCCCGCTCACGGAGGGGAAAAGATCGAGAACTTCGGCCAGGGAGAAGTTGAGCTCCTCTCTTTCGACTTCCCAGGGAGAGGAAGTCGGTACCTTGTCGAAGTAGATGACAGTGTGGAGGTAGAAGTTGCTGAGGATGCTGTCGAGCTTGGAGACGGGGTGGATTGCGAGCTGGGAGGGATGAATTGAAACCACGGTCTTGACTCCATGAATTGTGACTTGGTGATGATGCTGCTGCTTCAACATTGCTGGAACAGGCCTGTGGATTTGCCTGCACAGACCACGAGATATCCGGACTAAGTTGCTGCTCGGGACTCGGGATTCGTACCTTTCCTGGAGGTGAGAGTGGTGGTGGTCTTTTTTATTTCTTTTCTTTTCGCTTTTGGAAAGTCCTCAGGAATCGTTTTCCTCCAGGCACGTCCTTGATTCGATCCCAGCGCTGCTGCTGCTGCTGCTGCTGCTACTCCCTTGCGTTCCTCCGGTGGAGTTTGAAGATGAGATAAGCAAGCGTTGTGGAGGTAAATGCAAGGAAGTGATGGGGAAAGGAAAAGAGGGAGAGTGGTGGATTTGGCCGCGAATGCTAAGCACGGGGTCCTTATAATGCCCCTCTTCTCTCTCGTTAAGTTCTTTTCCTCGCTCCACTCACTTTGCAATCAATTGCAGGCACCAAAGCTGGCTGGCCATGGCTGGTGGGGCTCATCAAAGCGTGTTGGAGAAGACAGGCAAAAGAGAAGATGGATGGGGGCCAAAAGAGAAAGAAAAAAAGTTTAGAACAAGCCAGCAGCACTGAGCAACAGCACCAACACACACTACTACTTACACGGCCAGCGAAGTCAATGGGTGGAATTAATGTGAGGGGATTGATTCGCTCATCGTCTTCTCCCCAGGAATTTCTTATAAGCGCGACGACCTGCGTTTGTTCGTAGTTGGTGGTGTTGTTGCGCGGGCATTGAATGCCACAAAGGGATCTTCGCGTTGACTTCTCCGTCAATGGTGGTCAAAATTGGTCAATGCCCTAGCCCCGCGTAATTTCGTTGACTCCTCCGGTCAATGCTTGTCAAACAAGGTCAATGCCTCCGCGTGACTGTGTGATTTGTTTGTTTTTTGCCCTCTTTAAAGGTGGTGGTGTGGCGTGGTTGGGCTTTGCTGGCTGGTGGCCAGCGTTTTTAATGCTTTGGGCAAATTCTCTTCTTTCCTTTCTTTCCTATGGTTGGTAGCAGTTTGAAGCTTTCGCGCGGTAGCGTGTCCATTTCAAAAATTTAAAAGATGCCATCGGCATCTCCGGCTAGGGCAGAACTTAGGGCTCTTGCGCGCGATGAGCTGGAGGTGCCACGGCAGGAGCAACGAGGAGCTAATCGCAAACCTCCAGAGTATGTCAGCTGTATCGCCCCGCATTGCGCTTGTTTGGAGCTGTTTCATGTGAGAGGATCGCTGGCTTTGTTTTGTCGCAGAGAATGGAATCCTGAGCTCTGCCGCCGCGGCCGACGCGATGGCGAGGATCGACAGAGCGTTTTTCGTGCCGCGGGGAGGATCGCCGTATCAAGATGCGCCCCAGCCGATTGGTATGGACAGTGCTTAAATTTCTTTTGTTTGCTTGCTCGTTTGAGAGTAGAGGATAATTGTCTTTGCTTTTGTTTTTGTGGGGACTTATGTTTTTTCTCGTAGAAGGCTTGTCACTCTTTGTTTTTCGCAGGGCACGGCGCGACAATCTCAGCTCCACACATGGTAAGAAACACGTTTTAGTAGCAAGCAGGAGTGAAAGTGTTTCTGGCAGCATGGTTATTGCGTATCCATGCTCGCGGATCATCTCAAAGCGGGAATGACAGTGCTTGATGTTGGATCCGGCTCCGGCTACTTGACTGCGGTCTTCGCGTTGATGGTGAGTCTGAGACAATCAATGCACGAACTGATGAGCTCAGTTTTTATTGTGTGTGTTCTTGAAGGTTGGACAAACTGGAAAAGCTGTGGGAATTGAGCACATCCCCGAGCTTGTGGAGTCGTCTATAAAAAACATCAGAAGAACACAAGCGGCGTCGCTTCTTGACACTGGAGCTCTGTCCGTCCACGGTATGCATTGTCTTCTTCTGTGCTGATTCACTCCGATGCGGTGCGCTGTGTGTAAAAGCTGGAGATGGCAAGCTTGGCTTTCCGGCTTGTTCACCTTACGATGCAATTCATGTTGGAGCTGCAGCTGCTGGTAATATTCGATTCTCTCTTTGGCTTTTACCGCTTTTGTTAACTCTTGTATTGCTGGCTGCCAGAAATGCCGCAAGCGCTTGTAGACCAGCTCAAACCCGGTGGCCGTATGGTGATTCCAGTAGGACGCTTCTTACAGGTGAAGTGGTTGTTTCTAGTAAATTTTATACGCAACCAGATGTTAATGCAGGATCTAGTTGTCATAGACAAACTTTCAGACGGGTCCATTAAAAAACGAACTGAGATGGGTGTAAGCTACGTGCCTCTCGTGTGATTTAAATGCCGAAATGCAATAGAGTGCGAGAGTGGCCAAAAGATCGCAATAATGGTAAAAGCTTACGATCGCTGTCATTCTATTGCGACAATCGGGACCAGCTTGTATGGTTTTTCTGAGATTTGGGTCCACTGTTGCTTCCAAGTAAGTTGCGTGTTTCTGTCAAGTGGTCGTCGACATCTTCTAGCCAAAGAGCTAAGTGTTTTTATCGTTGTTTTCAATTGTTTTGCGCTAATTAATATCCGTCTTCTTGTTGCTGTCACAGATCTGGGCCGAGCAGATCACTTGGAAACCTTAGAATACTACGGCAGTGAAAGGCATCTTTTGCTGGTACGATGTTGAACTTTCGTGAAGAAAGTGTGAGCCACAGAGCATTGGCCGACGTAATTTCATGTCACGCTAGAGCTATGGAGAAGGCCCAGCCGTCGACAGCCGTCGAGATGATCCATTGGAGAAATGATGGTATCAGCAGCGGACCTACCAGTCCAACAAGGCGGATTATGCAAAACCAGGATTGTGTCCTTGGATGAAGCCAAGTTTTACCAGCAAAGAAACCAGCACTAGGAATGACGACGTGTGCGTCGCCGATTGCCAAAGATGTCCGTATGACTGCTTGCACGGCTTCTCTGAGTTCAGAAGATATAAGGCGTGCTTTTGGGATTGGAGATGAACTTTTCTTACCAAAGATGCAGAGAAGCACGTCAAGCCGGCTCAGCGATGCGTTCTCTAGCACCGGCTCGTTCCACAGGGATTTGGATGATGGGGAGTTGCTGATATGGGCTGCTCTCGAGAGGCTGCCTACAGTTGAGCGTTCAAGGAAGGGGATTTTGCTCAGTGACAATGCAGCAAAGAATGGCTGTGCTGCTGATACTCAGGCTGAAGTTGACGTTTCGAAGCTGGATGTGCAAGACAGGCGGAGGATTTTGTCCAGGCTTATTCCGACTGCCGAAGAGGATAACGAGCGTCTACTGTTGAGACTTCGCGATCGCATCAACAGGTAAGTTTAGACTTCACAGTGTGTTATCTCAGATGTGCTTTACGATTCCCAGGGTCCGCATTGATCTTCCCAAGATCGAGGTGAGGTTTGAGCACTTAAATGTGCAAGCGAAGGTCCACGTGGGAAGCAGGGCTCTTCCAACGCCTATTAACTTCATCAACAACTCGGCCGAGGTGCTCTTGTTATAAATGTTCTCCTGTTGTTGTATCGACAAACTTTGCAGAGTCTGCTCAGCGCGCTGCACCTGCCTTCCTCTAACAAGAGGACTCTCACAATACTACGAGATACCAGCGGGATCATCAAACCTTCCAGGTGAAAAGTTACCGAGTTCTTTTCCTTTCTTAAATTGTTCTTTCCACAGATTGACGCTACTCCTTGGACCACCCGGATCTGGAAAGACGACGCTTTTATTGGCTCTGGCAGGAAAACTGAACAAGGATTTACAAGTATGCATGAGACAAGCACGAGACATAAAAGTACTTGTTTTATCAGGTCACCGGGAATGTCACATACAATGGACATCAAATGGACGAGTTTGTTCCGCAAAGGACTGCTGCGTACATCAGTCAAAGCGATCTACACAGCGGGCAGATGACTGTCAGGGAAACTCTTGATTTCTCCGCTTGCTGCCAAGGGGTTGGTAGCAAATACGGTAACGGGTAATATCGGTGAGTGTTTTATATATTGATGTTTCCTTGTGGCAGAAATGCTTTCTGAACTTCTGAGGAGGGAAAAGGCGCTTGGCATAAAACCGGATGCGGACATTGACGTTTTCATGAAAGTAATATTTTTTGTTTCGTATGTTTACGACTCTTGCTGATGGATTTTTGGATTTCTCAGGCAACTTCGTTGCAGGGTCAGCAGACGAACCTTGTGACTGATTACGTGATGAAGGTGTGTGAGCATCTGCTTACTTGCAACCGTGACTAATTGTATGTGTGTCCTGACAGATACTTGACCTTGAAAATTGCTCTGATGTCATTGTTGGAGACGAGATGCATCGAGGAATCTCCGGCGGTCAGAAGAAAAGGGTGACAACAGGTTCAGCTGTCAGATTCTTTGTATAGTCACCTTCTGATTTTGCTGCAGGTGAAATGTTGGTTGGCCCTGCGAAAGCGTTGTTTATGGATGAAATTTCCACGGGCCTGGATAGTTCCACGGCGTTTCAAGTTGTTCAGTGTTTGAGACAGTTCGTGCATGTGATGGATGCCACTCTACTGATCTCTCTGCTTCAGCCTGCACCCGAAACATTTGGCCTGTTTGACGACGTTATATTGTTATCAGAGGGACGGATCGTTTATCATGGACCTCGTGAACTGGTTTTAGAGTTTTTTGAATCGCAAGGCTTCAAGTGTCCTGAGAGAAAAGGTGTTGCTGACTTCCTTCAAGAGGTAAACCAGTTTCACATCAAACGGCTTGATTTTAATGTTGTTGATACGCAGGTAACATCGAGGAAAGATCAAGCTCAATATTGGACTGGTACAAGAGCTTACAGCTACGTTTCAGTTGACGACTTTCAGAGGGCTTTTGAGGGCTTTTCGGCTGGCCAGAAGCTTGCTGAAGAACTTGAGAAACCATTCGACAAAGCGAGCAGTCATCCTGCCGCTCTTGTGACACAAAGATATGCCCTGAGCAGCTGGGGATTATTTCGGGCTTGTCTTGCAAAAGAAGTGCTGCTCATAAGGCGGAACGCCTTCGTTTATGTTTTCGCAGTGTTCCAGGTAACCTCTTTCTCTATCATCTGCATACTTACAGTTTGCCATGACAGATTTTAATTACTGCTGCTATCGCCATGACCGTATTTATAAGAACTGAAATGAAGCACCAAACCGTAGACGATGGAGTTGTCTTCCTTGGAGCTATGTTTTTTGCCTTGCTGACGGGCATGTTTAACGGGTTTGCTGACTTAGCCATGACCATCTTCAGGCTTCCAGTTTTCTACAAGCAAAGGGATTCGTTGTTCTATCCTGCATGGGCGTATGCTTGGCCCATGATTATTACCAGACTTCCGATTTCATTAATTGAAGCGGCAGCTTGGGTGATACTTACGTACTGGGTGATAGGATTTGCACCGCAATGGAGCAGGTATAAGCCAGTTATTATTTATCTAACTTTGATCTTCTTTTTTCAGATTTTTTGGACAAGTGTTAATATTTTTTGTTGTCAATCAAATGGCTCAAGGTCTTTTTAGATTGATTGCTGCTTTGGGACGGACGATGGTTATAGCAAATACCTTCGGGGCTTTTGCTATACTCGTCATTATTTGTCTGGGGGGATTCGTTATAAGCAGAGGTAATGTTTACTATTTCTCTATATGTCATAAATCTCGTTTTGTATGCAGAGGACATACATCCGTGGTGGATATGGGGATACTGGACTTCTCCTCTAATGTATGGGCAAAATGCGATTGCGGTGAACGAGTTTCTTGCACCCAGATGGCAAAAGGTACCAACTTTAAGCGCTAGAAAATTATGGCAAACTGATCGACTGATAAGTTTGTTTCAGCCATCGAACTTTTCCAGCACAGTTGGAGAAGCTATACTATTAACACGTGGACTATTTCCAAAGTGGTACTGGTACTGGATCGGTGTCGGAGCAGTCACTGGATTTGCCACTCTGTTCAATGTTGGATTTATTCTGGCAATGACTTACCTGAACCGTAAGCAGCTGTTTTAAGCGTTCCAATGCGTTCTCATTCAAGTTCTGTTAGCTATTGGCAAGTCACAAGCCATTGTTCCTAAGGACATGTTAAATGAACGATCATCAGACGCTCCACGCATATATTTACAAAAAGTGGATTCTTCAAAACCTGATAGTCTACGTGATATCGAAGAAGGTAACATGTGTTTCGCCTTTTTTTTTTTTTTTTTCTAATTTTTACTCTTCTATGTGAATGTTTTTACAGGTATTGAATTGCAATCACGAGAAAGTGGCAGGCTCAAAACTTATTTGAAGGGAATGGTGTTACCATTTCAACCTTTATCGCTAGCGTTTCATCATATCAGCTATTTTGTTGATATGCCTCCTGTAAGCAGCCATCACACTGCTAGACACATCAAGTAAATGACCGTTTGCAATTGCAGGAGATGAAACATCAAGGCAACAAACTACAGCTTCTTCAAGACATTAGTGGTGTTTTCCGGCCTGCAATTCTCACAGCCCTTCTTGGCGTAAGTGGCGCAGGAAAGACAACTCTAATGGACGTTTTGGCCGGTAGGAAAACCGGTGGATACATTGAAGGGGAAATTATAGTAGCGGGTCGCCCAAAAAAGCAGGAAACATTTGCTCGGGTCTCAGGATACTGCGAACAGAATGATATCCATTCTCCAAATTTGACTGTGGAGGAATCCTTGATCTTTTCAGCGTGGATGCGTTTGTCGGAAAAGGTTGACAGATCCACTCGAGCGGTAAGTTGCAGTTCTTGCGCTTTGAAGTACTCAACTACATACACTGTACAGATGTTTGTTGAAGAAGTTCTGGAGCTTGTCGAGCTTGCATCTCTAAGAGGTGCTTTAGTTGGAGTGCCCGGAGTTACTGGGCTATCCGTTGAGCAAAGGAAGCGCTTGACTGTTGCTGTGGAACTGGTTGCTAATCCTTCGATAATTTTCATGGACGAGCCTACGTCAGGCTTAGATGCACGAGCTGCTGCAATTGTCATGCGGACAGTTCGAAACACCGTTAACACAGGACGAACCGTAGTTTGCACTATACATCAGCCCAGCATAGATATATTCGAAGCCTTTGACGAGGTAAGCCTTTGCTCATTCTTTTCTCGCTCTCTGATCGTGGTTTATGGCAGCTCTTCTTGATGAAACGAGGTGGACAACTGATTTATGCAGGTCCCCTTGGTAAATTTTCTGCTGAAGCCATCCATTACTTTGAGGTACCTTGGGCGCATCTGTTTTTTTTTTATAGTGATAAGCGTCTTGTTCACAGGGTGTTCCTGGCGTACCAAAAATCAAAGATGGTCACAACCCTGCTACCTGGATATTGGAAGTAACGTCTCAAATGTCTGAAGCTCGTCTCGAAATCGATTTTGCAGAAGTTTACAGGAAGGCATCTCTATGCGAGTAGGTTATATTTAATTCTGTGCGAGCCACTTAACTGTGTTTATGCAGACAAAATGAGGCTCTTATCAGGGAGACAATTCAGAGCTCGAAAGACACTCCGGAGCTGCACTTCCCGACGAAATATCCTCAGGCATTTATCTCACAGTGTGCGATTTGCCTTTGGAAGCAACATCTATCATACTGGCGAAATCCTCAGTACTGCGTGATTCGTATGTTTTTTACGGCCGTGTCAGCTGTATTGTTTGGTGGAATTTTCTGGGACCTTGGAACCCGAAGGTATTATTAGTCGTGCTTCCTTGAAACCAATTTGTAACAACGGACTTATTTGTATGCCGCAGAAGCAAGCAGCAAGATTTGTTTAACTTGATTGGCGTTCTCTATTCAGCAGTTCTTTTCCTGGGTGTAAACAACGCATCCACGGTTCAACCGGTTGTGGCAACGGAGCGTACTGCATATTACCGCGAAAGAGCTGCCGGAATGTATTCTGCGCTTCCCTACGCTTTTGCTCAGGTAACGAGATTCTTTTTTCCTTCTGTGGTCAAGACGATCATTCCTTTTCTCCAGGTGCTTGTGGAAGTTCCATATGCTCTGGTTCAAACTCTTCTTTATGGCTCCATTACGTACTCCATGATTGGATTCGAATGGAGCATCGTCAAAGTGTCCTACTTTTTCTTCTTCACATTCTCGGGACTTCTTTACTACACGCTCTATGGGATGATGGCTGTTGCATTGACTCCAAACGAGCAGATCGCAGCAGTTGTCTCGGCATTTTTCTTCGGAGTTTGGAACCTTTTCGCGGGCTTCATCATACCATACAAGGTTCGTGGATCCTTCCGTTCAAGCGTTTCTGCTCTTAGCTTGGCTGTTTTGGCTGCAGAGAATTCCCGTGTGGTGGAGATGGTACTACTGGGCAAATCCGGTGGCATGGACCGTCTACGGCCTGTTTACTTCGCAGCTTGGCGACGTCGACACACTCCTGGCAATCCCAGACCAGCCTCCGAAGACGGTGAGGCAGTTCATGAAGGATCACTTCAACTTCGAGCTCTCATTTGTAAGCCGAGCAGCCGCCATGCAAGTCGTCTTCATCGCTACCTTTGCTCTCGTCTTTGCGGTGTGCATCAAGCATTTGAACTTTCAGAGGCGCTGACCTTCTTTCGAAGCTGAGAGAACTATTTGTGATTCTTGGCACCATTTTACAGTGCACTGCTTCGGAGAAGTGTTTGAAGAGCACACAAACTTGGTAAGTAGTGTTCTTTGCTCGTATCCTTGACTAACTTCAGAAATTTTGCAGCTTCGTTACCATTCATAGTATAGACATGAGCCGATTCTAGCAGAGACTCAGTCATGGGAGCTGTAGGTTCAATACTAAGGACATGCTGCACTAAAACCAGGCCCTCCATAGAAGAAGCTATTCTTCCCGTTTCTAAAGACTAGTTGTAACAGGAAGAAGATTCGTGCTTTTCTCCCAGATTCCCGAGCGGCTCAAAGTACAAGGTCCCGCCATTCACCGAAGCTTTGAATAGATTTCGATGGAGGGCAGCGTTTCTGAAACCGGCTGCTGGAAACTCCCCACTCCCCAATGGCGATCAACCTGCGATGTTGTTCCTATAATATCACAAAGTTTGGATCTTTCTCACTGGAGAGAGAGAGAGAGAGGTTCACGTGATTGATGCAGGGGCCCTCGACGAAGGCGTGGTGGCTTCAAGTTGGCGGACAGACCATTGGCTACTGGCCTTCTTCTTTGATTCCAAATCTCGCCAGCGGGGCCAGGTTCGCTCAGTTTGGTGGCAAAGTCTACTCCAAAAGCGCTCCTCTTTTGTTCTAACCTGGAACAGAGTGAACGTGATATCATATTGAGCTCCTCCTCGCTGAGAGTATGGCGCTAGAACGCCTCCAAGCGCGACGCTGCTGCTCACTTGGACAAATCCAGGTGACAACCAAGTTATAGCAACCAGTTGATTTGTAGCCATCCCAGTCAATGAACAAGTGGGGCTCCCCGCTCCCACCGTATAAACGAGGATACACCTTAAGCATTAATGCATGTTAGCGTGTATATCATTGAAAAGCTGGCGGGCTTGGTTTACGTACATGCCACCCAGCTTCGATTGTGCTTCCCATCCCGTCCGCCAGCCAAAGCTGAGAGAGGGTGAAGGAGCTTTCAGGAGTTTCAATATTTGGTTTCCAGATGCTCGTGCTCGTCGATCATATTAACGATACACGGCATGCTACAAAATGTGCAAAGTCAATTTACCAAAACGAAAAACTCATGGAACCTCGTGGATTTCCCGCGCTTGTTGCAATTTGGCACTGGGACGTTCGAATTTTGTGGCATTTTTCTTGAGCACGCGAATTGGTATTTCTCCTGGCTGACACTTTGGAGGTGGACTGCTGGTATTCATTGCAACTAAAGGTATTAGACTATACAACAGGCATTCTATGCCAAACGCCGCACCTGTATTGTCTGAGTGCTTCCTTGCAAGGAGATTTGTGTGTTGGTTTTCACGCATTTGATAGAGTCTCCGTTTGCGAACTGAGGACGCCCCTTGTTAGATTGTGCACTACTGAAAATTCTCCTCAAAGGACTCAACCGTAAAACTAAAAGCCTCGTTGCTCAGCGTTCCACCACTCCATGCACTCCAGAAGCATCCCAAGCTCCATCTGCACCGAGTTTGATTTTATGACGCTGTCCAAGTGCGTTATTACCTGTATAAGCATTGTGAAGACCTCTTTGAACTGACCGCAAAAAAATTTTAAATCCCAATAAAGTTAGCATATTCTATGTATATCCGTTCATATTCTATGTATATGCTTAATTTCAAAAGAATTGTAAGAACTCTGCTTGGTCTTCCCTCTTCCTTCTTTGTAATGCCCGTGACTATATAGAGTCCGGGCAGGAAACTTATGGAGTTCGTTCAGGAATGTCGACAAGAAAACGACGAGTAAGTCGCTTGTAAGTTGAGCTTGATTGTGATCAATGTCTGGATCCCAGGTATAACGAACGAGGAGAGGTATGGAGCAGCACAAGCAAGCTCCACTCTGGGCGCTGCTCCTCATTCTCGCCAGCGGTCTCATTCTCACTGCCGTGGGCCTCACCAAGAACCTGACGCTGCTGCTCAACAATTACCCAAACTTCAAGCGCTTCAACACGCTGCTCACCACTAGCGGCGTGGTCGACCAGGTCAATCCCATGCTCACCGCCACCCTCTTCATCCCGGAGAACAACACGCTCCTCAACGACTTCATCTACGACATGGGCAAGCACCCCAGCGAGGAGAAGCTGGCGGACCTGGTGCGCTACCACATCTCCGACTTCTACATCGAGTCCGAGTTCCTGGCGGTGCGCCGCAACTTCTCATCGCCCATCAAGACACTCTTCCGGGAGCGCCCCTACGAGGAGACGCTCCACTTCCGCTGGCTGCAGCTCAACGTCGACAACCACGGCGTTGCCACGCTCTCCAGACCGCCACATCAGTCGCCGCCGCTGGCTACCATCCTCCGGAACGTCGTCCAGGAGCCCTTCTCCATCACGGTCTATGCCATCGACCGGGTGCTGGAGCCGGAGGGCTTCCTTCCGCCACCGCCGCCACCGCCACCTTCACCGCCGCCACCATCACCGCCGCCGCCTCCGCCTCCACCCCCGTCGCCACCACCACCACCACCTTCACCACCTCCTCCTTCGCCACCGCCGCCACCCTCACCACCTCCTCCTTCGCCACCTCCGCCGCCCTCACCGCCTCCTCCTTCGCCGCCACCCCCACCTTCACCGCCACCACCTTCGCCACCCCCGCCACCTTCACCACCACCGCCGCCACCACCGTCGCCGCCTCCGCCACACCCGCCGCCCCCACCTGCCTTTCTTCCAGAGAGTGAGGATGGCATTCCGCCGCCACAGTCTCTGGCCATGCAAAGATTCCATAGAAGTGTTCTCGCCTCCACATTAGTGTCTCTTTTGGCGATGCTGCTACTCAAATTTTGATCGAAGAATGGAATAAAACTATGTTTGAAAATATCGTTATCACCTGGTCTGGAAATTCAGCACCTTGATGCAGAATGCGAACATGGCCGCAAAGAAGATGCTGAATCCCATTACCACGCCTGCTATGACTCCCAGGAAATCGTAGTGGAAGCCGAAGTACTCCTCCAAGAACACATTCACCGGTTTAACTTCACCACCGGGTAGTAGCAAGTCCTTCGTCACGTCTCCGTATTGCGAGGTGAAGAGGCCGTTCACGGTCCAGGCAACGGGACATATCCAGTAGTACCACGTCCACCACTTCGGAATTTTCTGGAAGAAGAATAATGTCACGGGTTCCTCGAGCAAGCCTATCGGAAAGAACTTACAGGATAAGGGATGAGGAAGCCGGCAAAGAGGTTGAAAAGCGAGTAGAAAGCCGAGCTGAGGATGGCTGCAACTTGATGGTTTGGAGTCATGGACACGGACATGAGCCCGTAGTACGTGAAGTACATGAAAGTGAAGAACGTAAAGAAGAGGTACCAGAAGAACTTTGCAGGGCTCCACTCGAACGACATCATGGAATATATGATGGGGCAGTAGATCAAGCTCTGGACGGCGAGGTAAGGGATTTCGATCAAAACCTGGAAGCAGAAGCTATGTTTTAGCAGCTAAACATGTAACACCAATTACCTGTGCCATTGCGTATGGCAGTGCGGAGTACATTCCAGCCGCTCGCTCTCGGTAGAATACGGTTCTCTCCGTGGAAACCACAGGCTGAACTGTGGAGCAATTCTGTACTCCGAGGACAATAACGGCGCCATACATTGCTCCCATCACTGTGAAAAGGTCTCCTTGAGCACCTCTGTGGACAAAAAAGAAAAGGTGCGCTTTTAGTATCTCTTCTAGTGAACAAACACTGACGTTTTCTCTCCACGTTTCCAGAAAATGCTACCATAGAGCAGGGCAGCAATCAGAGTGAAGATTAAACGGACGCAGTTGTAATCCGGGCTTCTCCAGTAAGTCCAGTACTGCTTCCACAAGCAGGATTTTAGCTGCCCGAACAATGACTGCGTGTACTTCGTTGGAAAATACAAGTCCGCAGCTTCCGGTTTGGGCGAGCTCAGCTCCTTGACGAGAGATTTGTTTCTCCTGTACAAACTACCATAAGAATCTAGCTATCAATATTTTTTATACGTACTGATAAAGTTCTGACTTGATATATATATCTGCAAAGTCAACTCCTAGGCGTTGTTCGGATGGAAGAGATGTTACTTCCAGCATCCAAGTAGCAGGGTTGTACCTGTGAGGAATTTTTGGAACTCCGGGAATAGCCTGAATGAAAAAAGGAAAAAGAACGTTTAGCGCCATACCCAGGCTTGGCATTACCTCGAAGTACTCGATCAATTTTTGGGAATCTTTCCCAAGCGGACCGGCGTAGATGACTTGACCTCCTCTTTTTAACAGGAGCAGCTGGATGCAAAATCTAAAGATCAACACCGGAGGAAAAAAGAAAGGGGAGAACACACCTCGTCAAATGCCTCAAAAATGTCTATGCTGGGCTGATGTATGGTGCATGCCACTGTTCGGCCTGTATCCACCGTATTTCGAACAGTTCTCATCACAATAGCAGCAGCCCTTGCGTCCAGTCCAGATGTTGGCTCGTCCATGAATATAATTGACGGATTTGCGACAAGCTCAACAGCAATGGTTAGCCGCTTTCTCTGCTCAGTTGAAAGACCAGAGACACCAGGTAGACCGACGATGCTATTTCGTAAGTTGTCGAGCTCGACAAGCTCCATCACCTCTTCAACAAAGCTCTGCAAGAAAAGGCAAACTTAAAACGCAATTGGAAGGAAATTTTCTGACCCACCATTTTATCTTCGGAACTGATGTTTGGTGCCAATCTTAGCCATGCAGAAAACAGCAAGGACTCGTGAACTGTGACCTGAGGAGAATGAATATCATTTTGCTCACAATATCCAGAAATACGGGCAAAGGTCTCTTGCTTTTTTGGAAAGCCGGAAATCTTGATGTCTCCGTCTATGTAGCCACCTGTTTTCCGTCCGGCTAGAACGTCCATGAGAGTCGTCTTTCCAGCACCACTTACGCCCATCAAAGTTGTCAACACGCCGGGACGAAAGGAACCTGTTATATCCTTTAGAAGCCGCAGCTTATCATCGGTTATGCCCTGCTCTTTCATTTCCTGCATTTCAACAATCACTGGGATGGTTTCTAGTACAATATGGCAAACTCACCACAGGCATATCGACGGAATAGCTAATCTCACTGAAAGAAATTGACAGCGCTTTAAATGGAAGTCTCATGCCACGTTTCGGCATTAAGCCTCTGGCATCTTTCAAATCCACGTCGTTGCCGTTTGGAAGATTTTGAGGATAAGTAATATCGAGAGCTGCGTTAGTTTAGCATAATTTGCGTCAGTGGAAAAAGCAAGGAAGAAAATTCTTACCGACTCTGTTGCCATCAAAACTTGAAAGAGAACGAGAGGATGAACGTGAACCTGCTAACGGTTTTGCGACGCCTGAATCTTGGATTTCCTGACTTGCTTCAATTTCCGCTAATGTCTCATGCGACCGTGCAACCTGATGCTTACCCAAAGCTACAAAATGAAAAACAATTGTTAGTGGCAGATTAACAAGTCAAAAGCAGAACTTACGATTTAAATACGTAAGCGCCAAAGTAAATAAAACGTTGAAGAGACACATAAAACCAACCATAGCTCCAACACCAATCCAATACCAATATCCTCTCGCAAAGAAACCACGATCTTTTAGAACAGTGGCGCCAATGGTGGAAGTTCCATTGAAAGGCTGCACGAAAACTGACTTTTAAGTCATTACTTTTATCTCTACTAACCTTATCCCAGCGAGGAGAAAGCATCTCGTTTACAGAAATGGCATTTTCAGCATACGGGAGTGGGTTCATCCAATATCCCCAAATCCACCAGTTGGGAATATGATCTGAAATAACTTGCAACTGTTAAGGCAGAATCAAAAACATAAAAAAGGTACACTCGCCTCGGGGAATCAAAAACCCACTTAAAACCACAAATAGAAGAATAAGCAACGAGCCCCCAGTATTTGCAACGACCATAGTTCGGCAGACACCGGCAATAAGCCGGAAAAGCGATGAGGACATCTGGTTTACAAGAAGCATCAGTAAAACATGTCGAAAAAACTTTCCCGCTGCTGGTGAATATCCAATCACGTAGTACGTTATACACGTCCAAACGGAAACTTCGACGAGTGATAGAGGCAGCCGGAGCACGAATTGTGGTAAACTGACTGCCCATGCCGGATAAAACAGCAAATCTCTCTGTTTAAAGAAGACAGGTAGCCGAAGAATGGTCATCGGTAGTTCTGACATGCCGTTGAACATAACCGCGAGCAGTCCATAAAACAAGGCCCCCAAATAAACAGTTGCATTATCGATGGTATCACCTTTTACTTCCGTCCGTAAGAAGACAGTCGAAGTGATACAAGCCACAAAAACTATCTGTGAGAGAAGAACAGACATAAAGCACCACTAAACAAAATTGCGGACCAACTCACCTGTATAGTTTTAACGATATGGACAAAAGAGTGTCGTTTCATAAGTAGCCACTCCCTTTGGAAGGATATTTTGAACATCTCTGTCTTGCTGATAGAGTACTTTTCGTGAACTAACGCAGCTGGATGGCACTTCGACCTGTCAAAGGAGCAAGATAACTCTTCGGCAAGCTTCTGTCCAACGTGAAATGTCTTAAAACGTTCAGAAAACTCTTTTACTGTGATGTAGCGGTAAGGCACTTGCTTATCGGCCCAGTACTGTGCCTGATCTTTCCTGGATGTTACCTATCATGCGACGAGATAGAAGTTAACACCTTGAGAAAGAAACGCGGTGAGAGCTTACCTCTTGCAGAAAATCAGCCGTATCCTTGCGTTCGGGACATTTGAACCCGCATTCTTCAAAGAACTCTATGACGTACTCTCGAGGCCCGTGGTAGACCACCTGTCCTTCAGATAGTAAAAGGACGTCGTCGAACAAGTTGTACGTCTCTGGAGCCGGTTGCAGAAGAGACATGAATAGAGTTCCCTCGAGCACATGAACAAACTGCTGCATGCATTTTACAATCTGGAACGTTGTCGAGCTATCAAGGCCTGTCGAAATCTCGTCCATGAACAACGTCTTCGTCGGGCCAACAATCATCTCTCCTGTAGTCACACGCTTCTTTTGTCCTCCTGAGATTCCTCTTCTCAGCTGATCGCCAACTATAGTGTCCGCACACACGTCCAAGCTCAAAATCTACAAATCACAAACAGCAACGAAATCATATATTTGTAGCAAGTAGTCACTATACCCTGAGTGTGTAATCCGTCAGGATGCTGCTCTGAACTTTTTCCACTGCCGAGGCCTGCAAGAAGGAAATAGTAAACGAAAACTTAAGTTCACAGGGACTCTTACTTTCATGTAGAGATCAATGTCGGGTTCTGGGACTATATTCCTTTCCTTCTCACGCCTTATAAGTTCTGACAGGAGTTCTAGTTGGGAAGAGATTAACGCTTGTTGGACGTAAAAGGAGCTTACCATATCTTGTTCCGACGCCCTGAAAGCGTGCAGAAAACTCAAGCGTTTCCCTCACAGTCATCTCCCCATTGTGTAAGTCATGTTGGCTAATATAAGCAGAGGTCTTCTGCGGCACGAATTCTTGCAACTCGTGACCATTGTATGTGATTTTCCCGCTCGTCTATAAAATAGTTGCGACTGTCAGTGGACGTTCCTACTATAGATTACCTTAAGAGCAGGATCCAATCTTCCGGCCAAAGCAAGAAGAAGAGTTGTTTTGCCGGAGCTTGGTGGACCAAGCAAAAGCGTCATCCTTCACAAGGAAACACACTCAGCTAGATCATTGCAAGCACTTGAAACCTACCTTCCAGGTTTGATAATGCCGCTGACATCTTGGAGTATGGTTAGGTTCGATTCTTTCGTCCTTGAAATCTTAAGAAAATCAATGGCCGCCTACACATGTCTCATGTCAAAAATGAAAAATCGGGTACCTGGACTCACCTCTAGCATGTTCACAGCCGTGTTGTAAAGGGTAGGCAGCGCTCTGTTGCCAACGTAGCACTTAGCTTCCACTGTCAAATTCTCGTATCTCACTTCGACTGCTGGAACATCGATCCCGACTCTGAAATGGCTCGATCAGTACAACCAGTGTCAACCACAGCAAGTAAAGATGGGACTCACTTATTGATCCTGTGCCTCAGCCTTTTGAGAAAAATCTCGTTGTCTTCTCCGGTCATTTGCACCAGCTTGTCTAAAAGAGCCTGACGCTCCGCGGGTCCTAACTTCCGAACGTCCACCTGCTGAAGAACGTCCTGCCCCTCTGTATTCAAGCTCTTGAGCACTGAAGTTCTCAGGCGGTCGTATGTCCCGAGCTTCTCCAGAGCAGCCCATGTCAGAGCTTCTTCGTCGTTCTCCGCCGATAATGTTTGAGCCCTCGACGAGCTCCTCCTGCTACTAAAGTTGCGTATGCTCGGCCGCCTGCTCAAGCTTCTTGTCAGCCCAGACGCCCAAACATCCGCCGCTTCCAGATCAACTGTTTGCTGAGCCATCGCTTGGCAAACTCACGAGCTCAATCCTCGGCCTTCTCGGCCTAAAAATATACCGGTGTATGTTGCGAACTATCCGCAGAAAATCATATTTTTTTTGTCCTCTTTTCTTGTCCGTTCTCTCCTTGTTCTGTCTAGATGAAAGGGTGTTAGCTCTAGAACTTACGAAAGAGAAAACGTTACCTCCTCTGACAGAAATTTTCTCTATTCTTTGACTCTTGCCAAGCTTGCCGGATTTGTTTGGCGTGTTGTCTTAAAGCGCGTTCCCTCAATTATTAGACACCCGGCTCTTTGGATGACGCCTGAAGATCCGCAAAGTCAACAAGATGCTGGCACTGGTGGAAGGAAGCTTCAAACGATCCTGTTTCCAGAAGATCTCCCAAGACTTGCGCTGATGCTGGCGAAACGCCTGTGGCATCAATGTAACAAGGAAATTATTCAACTGGGAAGGAGATTCCTACCTCGCGACGATCAACGGCCCAATCCATAGCTCAGAATCGACCAGCATTTGCCCCATCCCTGCCGCGGCGAGCTCCATCGATCTATAAACCCTAGCGCACGTCAAAGCCATTCAAATTAAGGCGCGAAGGGTTAAGCCCGCGTAGTCGAACCAAAACCGAGCTCTCTTTAGTGTTGACTTTCACTTTTTTTTATAACACAAGTAGACGCGTAGACCACAATTTTATAACACAAGTAGACGGTAAACCACAATTTCCATTCGACGGGGATGCTTGTCGAGCATAGGTCCCAAGATTGAACAAGATTTTAGCAATCTAAAACAGACATAAAACGAAATTATGCGAAGGAAATTAAAAGCTGACCTCCTCCTCTGTTGCAAAGCTCACGTCCAATGAGGTACCCGCGCCAGTACGGGAGTATCCATTTGGTGACAATGTTTGGCATCTACATCCGACCATGCTGTGGTTGCGAGTACAGGCGAACCATCTTTATGTGCCAAATCGTACTGCTCCCCTCCATCCAGAAACAAAAGTATCCTTTCCTCCCTGGACTTGAGAAATCTATCCAAATCTGCAGGCGAGTCAATACGCCCAATCTGCTCAAGAGCATCGGCATCGTCGCTCAAGGAGAACTCGAGTGCAGCCCTGACCTGTGGAACGCGAGGAGATTCGGCATTGCAGATGCATATGATCCTCAAGCCAGGAACGTTGACAGCAACAAATACTTTCTTGCAACCAAAGAACCATCCAACATTACCACTGCCAAAACCCGTAGAAAACGAATTTGTTTTCTACAATATCACGGACTTTTTATAAAAAATATTCTCAGAAATCAAGGCGGACACCTGTGCTATTGATCGTAGGAAACAGGATTTACCTACGCCTTTTGTTCCTCGCAAAGTCCAGGAGATCTATGTTTCGTTCTCAAGTGCTACGCAGAAGTCCACCATCTTCTCCGCGAAGCTGGGTCTACAAATGTAGTCGAACACTCTGGGAGGGCGCGTCCCTACTTGGGTTTCACCACGTCACCTGGCGATGGATTTATGATCTTTCTGCAAAGCTCGTCGCAGCGATCCTGGATCATCTTCTTGACGCTTAAAATCCTAACCCTTGTCAAATATAATTTTAGTTATATCTAATATTATCAGAGAACAAGGAAATATGACACCTACGCCCACATTGACACACTCGCTCTCATTTCTCTTGCGCTCAATCTCTTCCTGATCACCAGGGTCCTTGATCCTGGTGTGGTCTGTGAGCTCGCACCTTGGGCTCCGGCGTGGAGCTCTACGCTGCATGCTATGATGAGTTAAATTTTTATTGACTCTTTTAATCATTACATTTGTAAACTTTAATGTTAGTATGTACAGCGGTTTTCTATCTAGGATTTGCAAGCATACTATTAGTAGGAATGTGATTTAAGCGAACCTGGTCATATGATCCCAGATCAAATGACCTCTCTCTCTCTCTCTCTCTCTCTCTCTCTCACTAGAGAAAACAAAAAGTGGTACACTTTCACCAAATAAATCTTTGGGTTCCCGGTTCGTGAGCCCAGTGGAATGGCTTCCAGAGGAAGAGCCTCATAGTCAGAGCGTTCACTACCAAAAACTCCATGGCCATGAACCAAAACTTCCAAGAGCTCACTTGGAGCTTGGCGAAGCTGTGGAGAGCGACCAAGTAAAAGGGCACCGTGAAGTAGCGAAATTCCACCAGCGGAGCTGGGACTAGGACAGCAATCACAGCTCCACAAAACGAAACTACCCAGAGCTTTTGGAGGAGAGGCGTCCTCACGCCGGCATCGCGGAGGTTTTCGAGCAACGAATGTATGATCGACCACCAGCAAAAGATATAGAGCGGTATGAGCAAGTACTTAACGCACCAGTGGGTCTGGATGATATCCTTCCATATATAAAACGTGTAGTGTCGATTGTCAGCAATTAAGTACGGGTGTGCCAAGCTGTGGAAACGCTTTAGTTCGTTAGTAGAAAACACGAGCTTTGGACAAGGTACCTGAAGAAATGGACCGCCACAATCGCGATGCTGGCAGTAACAGCACCACTGAGACATGCGAGCGCTGGAGTTTCTCTGAAAACTTGTCGTAGAGATGAAAACCTGTTTAGCGAGAGTTGGAGCGGTGCCAGCACTCCCGCGGTAAAAAGAGCGAAGTAGAGTGGCTGAGCAAAGTGTGGAGAAGCTCTGTGCGCGTCCTTTGCACCTACACGTAATGTTTGGAAGTGTTTGATAAACCATTTGAATGGTCTTACCGACGACAATGCTGCCATTGTAGACAACGAAAGCCAAAAAGGCAAGGATAACGAGCACGAAAGGCGAAAACTGTCTAGCAGCAAACCACTTTCTTTGCCACGCATTCAGAATGGCGTCTTGTAAATCGCTGTGCCGACCTGAGTAAAAATGAGAACCAATACACACATGAACTGATAAGCAATTTTACCAGTAAAATGCGTCGCGTGCTTTGTCTCAGCTGTTCTTCGTACACGTCTTCTTCTCAGAAACTTTGATTCAGAATATCTTTTGTCAGGAGTTTTCTCCGTATCATCAACTGCTTCCTCCTCTTTTGAAGACGAAATCGCCTCTTGCAAAAATTGTATCACTCCAACACAGAGACCAAAAACGGTCCAGACAGCATTTGTTTGCCGGAACATTATCGCCAAGATAGAAAGCTGCAGCGTAAGAAAGGTTCTTAAGTAAAACTCTGGTATGAAACTTGATATGGATACTGACCGTAGCAGAAATCCAGTAGGATCTCTTCAAGCATGCCAAGTACATGGCCATCACGGCTGCTGTGGAGCCAACGTCGGTGTAATATAGAAACGTGAAAAACCAGTGCAAAGGGTACAAAGCAAGTACCACGGATTTGAGAAGCAACGCTCTCTCGCTCACTTTCGGGTCGAGATGAAGCAAAATGCTCCGGAACAGACAAACACATACCAGTGACAAAAGTATATTGATGGATCTTAGAGCATTGAGAGTGCATAAATCCATCCCAGGAATCCACGAGACCATAGATTCAAAAACCAGTGATACGAGGTATCTGGAAACAAAAACTCGTCATACAGATTTGGAAGGAGCGAGAGAGAATGACGAACTTACAATCCTGGCAGCGTTGTGATCATAGGATCCCAAGTATAAAAATCCCTTTTGCAGTAGCGCTGAGCTTGCGGGACGTGGAAAATCTCGTCCTGGAGCAAGGTAGAAATTATCAGTAGCTACATCTCAAAATATAGTTTACCATGTAAGGATCCGGAACGATGCCATTGACGAGATAAGCCACTGGTAGCGCGAATGCGAGCAGTGTCGCGATGAGCACAAGGATCGACATGAGCGGTGACTCGAACTAAACTCCAGGCATTCTAGTCTAGCACTTCCATGAACCCTAAAAATGCCAATCTGGGTTTTAATCTCGTGTTACTTACATTTAACATGCTACTCTTCTTCGACTGTTTCAAGTTCTGGCTTACTAGCAAACCATTCTTCGTTACCAAATAGTTGATGAAAAACCTGGCAGAAAAACGAGCTATGTGAGCGAGCACTCGCAAGTAAATCCTGTACCTTCTCGGTGTATTCCACGACACTTTCATACCCAGCCTCCGGACCTGGTTGAGCGCATACTCCAATACGATTGTCTATCACCTATCGCAGAAGTTAGATCATGCTTGGAAAGCTTTGGCAAGAACGGTACCTGTGAGCTTGTGCTATGAAGTTTTTCGGTGAAGAACCCGGACCAGAGAAGCTTTGGTTTGCAGAGGTCGGGCTCGAGGATGCTGGTTAAATCCTCTTCGCTTCCGGACTGAAAAAGAAGAAGTTTTACGACTCCATCCAACGCAGCCTTCGCAACAGAGCCACTTCCGGCAACTGTAGAGATTTGAATGACATATCTGCATGGCGACGACGTTAAAAAACACCCATGGATTCAAGCAGAGAACTTACTTTCCATCCGGGCAAACGGCAGTGCTGCCTAGTTGTAGGACTCTCACTGGATTTGGATTACATTCCCCGCTTACAGCTACACATCGTGCCGGGAAACTAGAACCGAAAGGCAAGAAAAAGAATGAACTTACATCGTGGTGGAAATATCAGCAGAAGGTTGCTCTTTCCGGAAAGCAAGGATGTATCGGTTATACAGACGTATCTCCCCAGAAGCAGACTCGGGGTCTTGCTATCTGGCCGCTGCATTTCCTCGACTAAATGACTTCCCCATTTGTTGAAGGATGCACCAAGTACTATCTTGTCACTGTAGAGAAGTTGTCCGGATTGAGCACGTATGCCTTTGAATTGCTTTGTTTCCTACAATCCCAGAATCAATGAAAGAGACGAATGGAAAACTTACACATACCTTATCCCGAATAACAGAGGTGACGGGCATCCGCAACACCTACAAGAGAGCACCATGATATCCGCAAGAGATCATAGGAAATTAACAAGATCACGTACGTACAATGCTCCATGAACAGCGGCCACTCGACAGAATGCTTGAGGTATTTCAGCTTGCCCATAAAGGGTGTATAGAAAAGCACCATTGTTATCAAATCTGCGGAGAGAACATCAACACCACCGCTGGGATGAAAAATTCAGGAAAAACTACCTTCCAATCGAAGCCATATGAAGCTTTAACAGTTGCAAGCCCTTCAGTGCTGAGATAGGAGAGCTACTTGCTTTCTGGTCCTCGTCAAGTAGCGCAACAGCATACAAAATGATTCTGGAAAGAGAGAAACGAAGAAGAAGAAAGTTAGAAATCATTTTTTCCAGCCAAGAACCTCAAAGAAAAGAAAGCACCACGATTGAATCGACTGTGGAAGCTGCTCCCTCTCCAGGAGCTCCACGAACGACACCTTCAAGTTCTCATCGGAGAAACCAGCACCGTCTCCCTCCTGAGAGATGTAAGCCTGGACAGACTTTAGAAACCGCATGAGACGCCTCTTGTCACGCAAGGCCAAGGATCGGTCCTGGAAGAGCTCGGAGCTGGAAGTTGGCGCGGAGATAAAACCATCTCCACTCCAAATGTATGTCGCCTGGACGCCTTTAAACTCGAGATAGTTGCTAGCGCCACACTTGATCAAGAGATCCACCAGAGACTCCGCGCAGCGTAGAACTTTTGGAGCTGCGATGTCGAGCGTGTAGTCTCTGGAAGAGCCCAGAGCTGCCGCCGATCCCTCGAATTCACAGACTTTGCCATCAGAGTAGAGGAATTCGTCTCGCAGGAGCTCGGATTCCTCCAAACCGAGAGCATCCAGCTCGGCCGAGGAGTCCACTGCGGCCGAGCCATTGCAAGCGCCGAGCGATGCTATGAACGAGGAGAGCTGATCCAGGGTCATGGATGCCCATTCCGATCCGTAGAACTCGTTGGAATCGAGGTGAAGTACCTTGCGCCCGCTGCAAGCCGCCGCGGCAGCTAGGATCGACTCTGGCAGCCCCGTTCCAACCACGATTGCGTCGAAGCGATCCGGATCGATGTCCATTTTTCCAGCCAAGAGTTTGCGAAGAACCCTAACCCTATTATTGGCGCGCTCTTCTTCTTCCACCGGGGGAAGACGGTCATGAATCTCTTCAGGAAGAAAACCGATCCGAAAGGTGAGAGCCACGATCCTCCCAACCTAGCTCTGTCAAGCGATTCACAGCGCTCCAATCTATAGATGCTCTTCGAGCCAGCAAACGCGAGATGGGAGTTGCGACTAGAGGTTTTTATTTGGGATTTTCTTCTTCGTTTGCTAGAAAAAATGGATTTTTGTTTTGCAGGAATCGAGAGAGAAATAATGACTCTACAATCAGAGGTGAGTGATTTTAGTTCTTAGTTCTTAGTTTGGACTTATTTTTTGCCTTCCAGGAGAAGAGACTGCTTGCCGAGATTAAGAAAACAGCCAAGACTGGTAACAAGGTGAGAGGTGTTTTTTCGTTGTTTGTTTTCTCGAGCTAGATAGATGTTGTTTCAGAGCGCAACGACGATCTTGGCAAGGCAATTGATCAGATTGCGGCAGCAAATTGGAAAGCTCCAGGGCAGTCGAGCTCAAGTGCGAGGTGTGGCAACCCATACCCAGGTTCTGTCACAAATTTTTCTTATCGCCCCTCTCTTTTGTTTTGAACTCGAAGGGAGTTTTTCTAGCTCCATGCCTCTGATGCTGCTTCAGTGTTGTTGTCTAGGCGATGTATGCGAATACGTCTGTTGCTGGTGCTATGAAAGGAGCCACTAAGGCAATGGGCGCAATGAACAAAGTGAGATTTTTTCGGCTTTGTTTTACTTGACTTCGCTTACAACGATCTTGCAGCAAATGCAACCTCAGCAACAAGTTAAAACCATGCAGGAATTTCAGAAACAGTCCACACAAATGGATTTGACAGTAAGTTTTCACGTTTCGATTCTCGCTGAACTATCATCGATGTTGATGCCAGTCTGAGATGCTGGCCGATGCTATCGATGGCGCTTTGGACGACGAAGAGGCCGAGGACGAAACTGAGGAGCTCACAAACCAAGTAACGTAAAAGCTATCTATTAGAATTTTGATTTAGCTCTTCCTTTCAGGTTCTAGACGAAATTGGTATTGATATCGCTGCCAAGGTACTGATAATTTACACTCCCAACTCTTTGGATTGTTAACTGATTTTATGCTTTTGGTTTCCAATATTTAGTTGACAGCACCTCCCAAAGGAAGAATTGCAGGAAAATCGGGAGCTGAAGAAATCAAAAGGTAAAATAATCTATGTTGTATTGATCATCCTTTCGCTTTTTTTCAGTTCTGAAATGGATAACTTGGAGGACCGATTAGCAGCTCTTCGCAATACTTAATTGCCGTTACATTTAACAAGAATAAAATCCCTTTAGGAAATCAAAACACGCCACGTGGCAATATTTGATAAGTCGAATAGCGTCACTTCCTCAAGATTAATCTGAGCCATTGGATGTAGGCATATTCGAGAAATAAGGGTATTTGCCCGCGTTATATAAACTCAACCGACCCTAAGGTTTCGTCAACTTTGAGGATGGGCGCAATCAAGAAAATCCTACCTTGTCTCTTCATCACAGCATGTATGCAATCTTTCTCTTCTCTGGATTCAATTCTTTCTGCTCGCAAATTTTGATATCCAAATGCAGGGCTGTTCTTGATCACCATCAACGCAACAAGCATCGGGATCGATCTGGGCACGACGTACTCGTGCGTCGGCGTGTACAAGAACGGCAAGGTCGAGATCATCGCCAACGACCAGGGCAATCGGATCACTCCATCCTGGGTAGCCTTCACGGAGAATGAGCGACTGATCGGAGAGGCGGCCAAGAACCAAGCCACCTCCAATCCAACCCGGACAATCCACGACGTGAAGCGTCTCATTGGAATGAAGTAAGCTCTCCTTGATCCTTCTCTTCCTTTTCTTCTCGAGATTCAAAGTTTCATATTGGAACGTCGTGAATCCAGGTACGACGACAAGGAAGTTCAAAGGGACATGAAACATCTGGGCTTTAAGATCGTGAACAAGGATGGAAAACCTTACATCGAAGTCGAGGTGAGCGGCAAGACGAAGATCTACAGCCCGGAGGAGATCAGCGCCATGGTTCTCACCAAGATGAAGGAAACAGCCGAGGCTTACCTGGGCGAGAAGGTCACGGACGCAGTGATCACAGTACCAGGTATGCGCAAAATCTTTCTTTTAAGGTTCTCACTGTATACAAACTTCCAGCATACTTCAACGATGCTCAAAGAGGAGCAACCAGTGACGCTGGAAGGATCGCTGGACTTAACGTTATGCGTATCATCAACGAGCCAACCGCGGCGGCGCTAGCTTATGGCCTGGACAACGAAAGGAACGGCGAGAAGAAGATCCTGGTGTTTGATCTTGGAGGTGGTACGTTTGACGTGAGCATCTTGGCGGTGGACGCTGGAGTTTTTGAGGTGCTCACCACGAATGGAGATACTCACCTTGGAGGTAAACTTCTTTTCGATCGATATATATCAAGCGACTGAACTGAACTCCACTGTTAATAGGCGAGGACTTCGATCAGAGGCTGATAGACTACTTTGTCAAGCTCGTCAAGAAGAAGTATCAAAGGGATATAAGCCAGGAGCCGCGAGCTCTGGCAAAGCTCCGCCGTGAGGTGGAGAGGAGCAAGCGGGCACTGAGCAGCCAGCACCAAGTCCGAGTGGAGATCGAGTCGCTTATCGATGGCATCGACCTCTCCGAGACTCTCACCCGGGCCAGGTTCGAGGAGCTCAACGCGGACCTCTTCAAGAAGACGATGGCGCCCGTGAAGAAGGCTCTCGAGGATGCCAAGCTCAAGAAGAGTGACATTGACGAGATCGTTCTGGTCGGAGGGAGCACTCGAATTCCCAAGATCCAGCAGATGCTCAA